CATGTAAAATATTATATATATATATATATATATATATATATATATTGAGGGGGGAAAAGAAGATGAAAAGACAAATACTCCATTATAATAATATACATATAGAGGGAGAGGAAGACAGAGACTTTGTCTTATTTTGCTGGTTCTTAACTTATTAACTTCTTCCTCACCTTATTATAAGAAATAAACTTAACCAGGTTACCCCTATTTTTATTTTAAAATTTAGTTTTTAATCTCTAAGGAATTTTTGCGCCCACTTCTTAGTAGTTTTAGTCTCTGGTATTAATTATTTTTTTTAGTAGTTTTAGTCTCTAATATTAAATTAACAATTTAACAATGTTTTAATCCGTAGTATTAAATTAAAAAAATGCAAGTACTTAACAAAATTACAAGATAGAATTATCTATTTATTTTTTTAAGTAGTTTTACTTCCTTATATTAAATTGTTACGTACTTAACAAAATTAATGATAGAATTATTCACACTAATTAATTATTTTATGTGACACCATGTCAATTACGTGAATATGACGTTACGTGACGTTAATTATGTGTAAATATATCATGTGTATCTGTGCCAGTTTAGTTCAATAATGTGTTGTGTTTTCTAGTGTTGTGTTGACATATATTTTTATTGGATATATCTACCACTTAATAATTATAATTCAATTTTAGGGACTAAAACTGCTGAAAATAATAATAAAAAAAGACTACAAATTAGCAAATTTTTATTGAAGGTGTAAAAACTAAATTCTATAGTAGTCAAAAGTCAAGAAAAATTTATTATTCAATTTGAATACTTTTAGGTACTAAAAGTACAGCTGACAAAAAATAAATAAAAGCCTACAAATTAGAAAAATTTTATTGAAGGCGTAAAAAATGAATTCTACAGTAGTCAAACGACAAGAAAATTTTATTTAACCCTAAGAAATAACATTAGTCATCTATAACATATATAAAGAAATAAAATTTTTGAATTTTGATGTATACATTTTTAGATAATTTACTTTTAAATTTTTAAATAATAAAAAAATATTAAAAATTGAAGACTAAGTATAGAGACACGATTCTACTAATATAGAGTTTTTAAATAATAAAAAATAATATTAAAAATTAATTATCTTTATAAACATAAGATTTAAATTTTAAAATTAAGTACAAAATCAATGATCTAATAAATATTAATAATTTTTAAATATTTTTATTAAATAAAATATAAAAATATAAAGTCTTATGATTTAAGATGAGTAGTGGATAACGTGTTTGTGTTGAAGAAACAACAAATTACATATTTTATCCTCTCCTCTCTCCACCAGAGACCTCAAGTAAAAGGCCACGTATATATATAGAAGACCTCTTCTTAATTTTATTATTCTTTACTTTAGTTCACTAAATTGTTCTTTACTTTAGTGTTTCAACCTCCAAACCTGTTTTCATTTACCCATATTCTTTATGTCATCAAGTAGTGACACATCCTATATTCACATAAATAAATGTAATAAATAAATATAATATATAATGATATATTGTTATAAATAAATATGATATATAATGAAATATTATTAAAAAATATAAATATAAACTATAATAATTTATTAAAATATTATTAAATATCATTTAAAAATAATATTAAAATTATATATAACTATATGTCAAAATAAATATATATATATTATATTTAATATATAATTATATGTCAAATAAATATATATATATATATTGTATTTACAATGATAATTTTTCTTATATTATT